GACGCGAACGATAATAACGATCCCTCTTACGCTTCGAATACCAACGAAAATAGGAGAGTTTATTTTTAAGTAGATTGATCTTCGCCGCCTACTGCCTCCTCCAACCACCGACGTCAAACAAAAAAAAATCCTCCCGCACGAATACTGCCGCAAAACACGAGAAAGGGACAAAGCGAATCAGCCGAGTATTATCACCTACAATTTACAGGCAATTTCTTTCCACGCAACCGCTACCTTCTATTTTCTTACATCGACTTTCCACATACCATTTTCTTTAGTAAATAAATAATAAAATACTTTTTTTGTCTCATGGTACACACAATTTACATGAATATTGCAAATATTGAATAATTTCATGAACTACCTATATGTTATTTAAATAAAGTTTAACACTTCCTTCCGGCATTCTACTCTCACGTTTTGATGTTCGGTATGTTAGTGATAATCATTTTAAAAAAGTAAAGTTTTGTCTTTCATCACCGAATTTCTCTTTATTATGTTTCAATCATGTTAGTTATTACGCTGAAAGTTACTTTTCTCTCGACGATCGTATTGACACCTAACAATGTACCAAAGAAATGCACGTTGTCTTACCTTATTTCAGTAACAAAAGTGGCCTTGCAGGCAATTTTGCATAGGCGAAGTCTTTTGTATAGTGGATAGGGCGGATATATCCGCCGTACATCTGTAAAAGGTTAATATAATTTACAACCTCCGCTCCCAAAATAAATAACAATTCGTTATATATTAAAATGGAACTTGGTCTTTGCGTCATCAATAACTAAATAAATGAACAATTTATTAATTTACAACTTTTTGTTTACCCTAAATGGGTTCAAATGGCTAGTAACCGAATTATTTTTAAAGTAATATATAATTTGCTTGATTTGTTTTACTTTTCACTATATATTTATATATTTATGCTACTTTTAAGCTTAATTGAAGGAGCTCTTTGATATTGGAAAAAGAAACTTCTTTTAATCCACTTAACTAGACTTCTTTTAAGTTTTATTGTATGGTATGGTATTATTTTTGTATAAATAAGGTAAACAAACAATCTAATAAATAGAATTAACATAATTAGATAGTATACAAATAGTTTTAATATTTATATATAGAAATTTGAAGATATTTCAAACATAATTGTGTAATGAGGTAAAATCTAAAACTAAATCTAAAACGTATGGTTAATTTTATAAAAGGAAACAGTAGTTATATTTGTATTAAAACTTAATATTGATTGCAGTACAATTATTTACATTTGAACGTTGCAATTTTATCTTATTGAATGAGAAAAGTAAAGTAATTTCAGTTATTTAAAATGTCGTTTAATGACACTTGGCAATGTTAATCTCTGTGTTGAGATGTGCCATCATTTATTTTTTTTATTAACTTTCCTATATCAACGATGTATGTAATAAGCAATTATTTATTCAGGCGAAATGATTAATGTCGCGTCGCAGGATGACAGTCACCCTTTTGCGACAACTTTCGGAGAGAATACATCCCAAGATTTATGGGCCATCCACGCGCATGCCGACACCGCCCAGCATTCGCCACCATCTCTTATGTTTCATAATAAAATTTTAAATGCAAAGCAAGTTCTTTGGCACGCCGCACCCCACAAACAACTCGCCATAGCACAATGCACCAAAAGCCAAGCAAAAACAGGACGAGATTAATTATTCAGGGTCCATAGCGCGAATGCCCTGCAGCAAAATCAACAATGCATCATGTTCGGTCGGACTGCTGTGAAAATATAGTTCTTACATATAGAACTTACTGTTAAGGAAAATGGATTCTAAGCACACGTATATGCATATACAGTGGAACCTCGCATAACGAGCAAAATGAATTGTAAGAAAAATGACTCGCTTAACAAGCGACGTTCCGCATAACGAGTGACG